GAGATCATATGACTGAGAAGAATATATCTGCCGCTGTAATCATATCACTATACATCATCCAGATAGAAATCATTTTTCCTCGACACTGGATATCTTTGTTATGTATTCAAAGTCTTTCTTATATTCAACAAAATATTTTAACTCTGTGTGAACACAAGATTTTTAAAAAAATGTTATATTTCGATATGAAATGGTTAATTAGGTCCCGAAAATGTTCATCCCGGTCCCGATCCCGATCCCGGCGGGATTGGGATCCTGAACAATACCTCAGTGACATTGAAACCGGGATCCCGATCTCGATCCCGACGAGATTGGGACCGGGTTCGGGAAAAAAATAGGGATCGGGATAATCCCGCCGGACCCTACCTAGAAGAACACCTATTTGTATGTATCAAATATTCTGAATATACTTGATAATTATTGTAGGTAACAAATATATATATTGAGTATCTGTTGTTGGGTCATAATTCACATGCCGCGTTCCCATATACAATCGATCTAAACATGTATTACCAACAAGTACTCGACAAACATGCATAAAGCGTTCATTATTCCAGTTTGGAATGGAATATATGTGACTGTAGGATGCATTCGATGAAAAATAAAAGCCATGATTATGCTTCATTCTTCATCATTATGCTTATTATTTTGCTTTGCCGTAGGTCGCGATGCGACATTAAGATTAGTCAATAGTTCTCTTGATGCCGTTGAAGGATTCTTAGAGGAAGAAGCAGGTATCAAGGTTTTAGTTATCTATAATGCATGTCCTTTCTGCATTCTATTATTGTAGAACGAATGAAACGTAGTCTGCAATCACTAAACAGTTTGGAATGAGGTGAGTTCTGATGGAGATAATTGCGAAGTAAGGGCGGAATTCCAATTTTCCCCAATAAAGTCGAATTTTCTCGACGAGAGAACAAAATTTCAAAATGGCTTTTCGTATTTGATCAAGTAATTTGTATTTTAAGGATTTTTCACCCAAAATATGGTTTAAAAAAAAATTAAAAATGCCACTTTCTTACTCAGCTTGATGAGCTCTATCGAACCATGTATGAATAAATCTATTGGAAATATTTTCTGCTGAACTTTTGCATTTGGAGCACCTTATTTCTTTGTAATATATATCGATTGTATTTGTTTTTGGTTTAGTTGTCAAACCAATTTCACCTGTGTCTGTGAGTGAATTTAATTTACGACCTGATGATGATATCGAAACTGGCTTAATTCGGCAGAATGTTTGTATTTATTAGAAACCTGTTGTGGTACTGATACAATTGGAAATGCTGGTATCAATGTAATGCATCGATAGTACTCTGTTCATTCTTTTCTTATGATGTTGTTTTACGCTTTTATCTGCTTTTTTTATTATATATCTTTTCGTTGCGAATAATGAAAAAAGCTGTTACGGTTCATGTGTGCGTATTTTTTCACGCTGTAAATATTGCTTGGTGGACTGGCCAATTTCATTTACGTTAATGGTGAAAAACTAGAGGTTGCTAAAGTTGCTTTACTAGACGAAATGAAATGTGTGTCTTGTCTTGGATATCTCGTTCAACGACTAATGTCATTTTGACTATAGATTACTTTCAGCTATGGTTCTACTAGAAGTAACAGATGACGAGTACATTTTGTTGGATTTGGTACGACAATTTTCCATTGAAGAGTTGTCGGTTGTCAATTATTGTAATGCAAAGATTGGTGAAGAGAGTACGACTAAGAGAGAAGGTATTAGACGAGTAATGGAAAGAAAATTTGGTAAACCTTATTCGAGTTTTGACATTTCTTATATCGTTCAAAAGATATGTAATTTGAAATTATTAAAGTTTGTAAATTCAACAGAAATTGATGAACAATTGGCTGCGGAGTTTGAACAAACGTCTAGTAACTCGTCCTACAATACTTACTTGCCGTTCACGCGTAATTGTTTACGTTGTGGTGATTCAATGCTACTGAGTAAAAAACCGAAGAACGTTACCGTGTATAAACTGAATGGAGTGGAAGATGGAAGGTTATACCATTGTGCATGTGATTCATGTGATATCAAATATTATCCAAATACATTCATTGAAGGGAATCGAAAATATGTGAATGTAAAGAGTTTATATCACAAACAATTTATTTATTTTGGAGGACGACTGGTGTTCTCGGTAGAATTATTTTTAAGTGTTAGTTCGTCATTACTGCATCAATATTCTGGCTTTGAAAATCTTGAAAAATGGTATAATTGTCTGATGGAGAAGAAGCATTTTATATTCTATTCGGACGATTTGTTTTCGAATTACAGGTCAATGAAAACGGACAGACATTCGATGGAATTGCAGTATTTTCTGTATGAACATTGCTTAATGTGTTTTTCCTTCTATAGTTTTGACAGTATTGAAATATCATTTTCTATGGACCGCGATGCTGTTTTGGATAATATGATGACCCGTTATAATTTATTACATACAGCGTTCACGGATTTTTGGGCACATCATAGAAATATTCGTCTGTGTAATGAAACCTGCTCGATGGCATTTGTTAGTGACGGATGAATGAAAGGAGATAGGTGGATTTGTCGTAATTCATCGTTGACTAAGTACAGTCCTGAGATGGGTATGAGTACTTGGGGTATCGATCTTCGGTGTTATTTTTGATTTTTTCCTAGGTGAAGCTCGGGTGGAATGTGGTACTACGCCGAGCGGTAAGAGAAGACGTGGTCATGCTGGGTATTGCGTTGCGTGCTTGCCTGTAGTGGACGTTAAAGTCGATGATGGAGAATTGGTTTCACTCTGTAACAATAATGATAGTATTGGATATTATCCGGAAATGTGTAACGTTTCACGTACTGGTGGTTATCGGCGTAGTACTTCGCATGGTTTGTTATTAACGATGTTTAACTGTGGAATTGCTGTGGATTATTTTGAGCTTTATTTTTGAATTTTTGAATTTTTGAATAAGTACTTTATCTTCGTACCAACTTATATAAGAAGAGAAAATATATCAGGAGAGGACGCGATATATGGGATACCGTGAGAATGTGGGGATATCTATGTTGGAGAAACATGTTCATATGAACGACGTATATCTGAGCATATTCGTAAAGTCAAATACAGAGATCTAGAAGGTTCTGAATTAGTCCAACATTCGGAGAGCAGTCCAGAATGCTTAATTAATTTTGAACATAGTGTTATTTTTGATAAAGAAAAACATTGGCAGAGGAGAAAAAAGTTAGAAACAGTATACACAATAGCTAACAATGGATATAATAGATGTAAGAGCATAAGTCCACAATGGAAATCAACCATTAAGCGATGGATAGAATCGAGAAGCGGGAAAGAATTTTACATAACTAACACTGAAGTAAAAGAACCGATTATAAATAAGGCTAAAGTAGAGAAACCAATAGAGATGAGAACAAAAAACTCGAGATATGGTTTAAGAAAACAGCCGAGAATAAAATACAAATAATTCAAACATTGACTTTTCAAAAGGCTTTTCATCGATCCGACGGTTTTATTAAATTTTATTAAATGTTATTTTTAATTTGATGGTATATGAATTTAGTTGTAACGTTGTGTGGTTAAGGGGGGAGAAAAGAAGGGGAAAAAATAAAAATAAAAATAAAAACAAAAAAGGTCGTCTTGACATATATATATCCTGTACAGAATTCTCCTTACTTTGTTTGTTCCTTTCTTTCTTAGATCATTCCTTTTTAAATTATAATGTAAGAATTGCCTAGGCAAGAAAAGAATAGAAAAATAGTATATAAATATAGTATCATTGCCAAACTACAGTTTAAGTTTAAGTTATTTTATTATCGTCTGTATATAGATTATATAAAATTAAAAAACGGGAAGAATATCCATATGTTAAAGTTTTCTGTTCAAATTTGGTTTTGTTTATGTAATTTTAATTAATTTAATTAATGTTTGTATCCACTGATGAAGATTGAACTCTCAATCGAAACGTTTGGAATATAATAAAGATAAAGTTGGTACGAAGATAAAGTACTTATTCAAAAATTCAAAAATAGGATCTAACTTCGTATTCATATCGACACTTCAGAAATGAGCTTTATTTGTCTGAACAAGTTCGTATATTGCTGCTTCATTGGTTTGAAATGTTATCTCGTATCAAGAACTTGAATGGATTGCCAAAAGTGTTTCTGTACGACAACGCATGTAGTGTGCATATATATTTTTGGAATCGTTTTGGGAAAAATGGAGACGTTGGTGAGATTAGTGAGACACGTAATTCAAAATTTCTAGCTGAAAGTCTGCTGCTCATTGATCGTGTGCAGCAGAAGAACCAAGAGACCGATGTGTTTGAAAGAGCGTAACATGGACAGCTATCAACATCTGAATGGTATCAATAGCCAAGTATGCGAACAAAAGAATTCGTACTTGAAGAAATATAAAAATGGTATCAGTGGTTATAGATCCGGAATGTCGGGAATGTTTTTTCTCATTGTATTTCAATTGTCTAATTGTGAGCTAATGAAAATTCAAGAGTCATCGTGGAAGTTTCAGATACCCTTTGATGCTTTCAATTAAATCAGACTTATGTGATGCACTTTGCGTCTGTTGTTCAATTTTGTTGATGTCGTATTAAATAAATTTATGCGTATTTCTTACCATTCGGAAAATGACTGAAATGTTGAAATTCTACCAATCAAACCGTGAAATGTTAGAGTTTATGAAAAGATGAAATGTATGAACAGATGAAATGTTGAAATGTATGAAATGATGAAATGTATGAAACGGTGAAAAATAAGAAATGCATCTGGGTTATTGCTACATAGTCTAACTTCCACGTTTAACTCTTTCTCAGTTTCTTATACTTTACACAGATACCTTTTATCTTACACCATACACGGATATTCTGACAGCTCTGAGTTATAGGTCGATAATTAGATCGTTCTAATGAATCACCACTTTTATAAAGTGAATTTATAACTCCATTTTTCCATATTCCGGGAAAGATTGACGTTTCAAAGGACTCATAGATTAATTTACAAACAGGTTTAACGATAGACTGTGCCATATTTTTAATCATACGATTAGTAATTTCAGACACACATGCACGACTGTGATCCAAACTACGTAAAATATTTTCAACCTCAGGTTGTATTACCGTAAATTTATTAATTAAAACTTTGGATTCAGATAAACAATCAGCTATTTTTGAATCGATTATTGGCCCTGTCCACGTGCAAACTTCAGCAAAATATTTGTTTAAAATTTCAGTCTTTCCTCGTGTATTGACCACTATTTCATTCATACTGTTTAATAATGCTGGAATCACGGTTTGTACGTGTTCCACCTAATGTATTTCTGAATAAGCTCCACCAATTCTTTGAAGAAGCACACACTTTTAAATTTATCCTTTTATAGTAATCGTCTCTGGTGGCAATACAAGCTGTTTTAAACTCTTCTGCAGATGTTTTGTATAGTTGAAAATGATAATTCGATGTTCTACTTTTTCGATATAGTTTACATTTCCTTTTATATAAAATTCTTAACTTGTCGTTGAATCAAACTTTATCACGTGGTTCAATACAATTCTTTTTGTTAGGCACATAGTACTCTATATGCTCCAACAATATCTGCTCGAAATTGTACAACCGCCTTCTTAGTTACTAGAGACTCAGACAGAATTCATTTCTGAAAGAATCAAAGAAGATACCACGACCGGTTTCAACCTTTCTCAACGGTCTCGTCCGGTGGTTTCCTTCGAGAAAGACAGAGTTAAGGCACGACAAGCAACACAAACTCCGTCCACACCGTATAAGGGTGTTACTATTCATTGTTCTTATCGAACAAAGAACGATAACTTTCACACGACGAGAGCGAAGCACGATATCACTGTACAATGCACATGTTCTGCTTCTCTTTTTCGACCGATTTCTTTTCATTCTATCAGAAATGACTCATCCTTTTAAACATAACCTGTATCTAGTAACTTTCACTCAACAACTGTTGAGGTAAATGTGAAAAGCACCATACTTATGGTTCGATCTTGGGAAGTGGTCACCCATCTTCTTACTAATCGTAGTTTTGACACAATAGAGAAAGACAATACGTCACAATTCTCTACTTTATAGTGACAAACTCCACAATTATGCATAGTTTGATCTTCAGAAGTGGTCACCTATCCTCTTACTAGGCAAGCTCGTTCCCAATTCTTTCAGGAATGAATTCTGTCTGAGTCTCTGGTAACTAAGAAGGCGATTGTAAAATTACTAAATATAATTAAATTTAAGTCGAGTTTCATATACAGATCTGCTCGAAAGCTGTAACTCTTTCATTCAGATTATTCATTTTATTCAGATTTCTTTAAAAGCTGATGTACAGGTATTTTAATGAACCGTTCATTCACTTTCTCCCAGTTAGGCATGCATCAAACCGAGAGTTCGGTGACCGAACGGTTCGCAACCGAACATGTTCGTTCACCGTATGGTTCGCTACTGAACATGTTCGCTGTCGATCAGCGAGCCCTAGCTTGGGATGGTTGCATGCCTGATCTGGACTAAAGGCAAATTGAATGAAATTGAAGCTTTTGAAGGAAGTAACCAGTGAGAAAATAGATTAACTAAAGCACAATGTGAGCGAATGTGTCTTCTACCGGATCGCTATCGTACGTGTTCGGACGAAGATTGTAAATACGATAGTTTATATTTTTCTCACCAGAGACATCGACGAGCGCTCTGCTGACAAACTATTAGGACAAAGTACCATAAACCTTATAAAGATACATTCAAATTAGAGCTGCAACTGTCTGTCTACTTTTTTCTGCACAGTGAGAAAAACTATTTTTGCATGAAAACAAAGTAAATCAATCTGCTTTACAGAGGCCACGTTAGTAATTAATTAGAGAGCAAATCAGATATAATGGAAACTAAAGGTACTTTCAACTTCCTGGAACAAAGTAAACATAAATTTGCTGCTCTGATTCAAACTTTTCTTTACATGACTACCTACGGCTACGGCGTAATCAAGGCTGCTCCTCCGTTTGGTGTAATCTTCATCATTTTTTCTGTTTTACAAAGATTTCTTTCATGTGTTTCTTCCTTCTCATGTTCTTAGCTTTTAAACCTTTGGTAGCGATTCAGTAGAAGACACATTCGCTCACATTGTACTTTAGTCTATTTTCTCACTGGTTAGTTCCTTCAAAAGCTTCAATTTCATTCAATTTGCCTTTAGTCCAGATCAGGCATGCAACCATCCCAAGCTAGGGCTCGCTGATCGGCAGCGAACATGTTCAGTAGCGAACCGTTCGGTGACAAACCGTTTGGTGACCGAACATGTTCGGTAACAAACCGTTCGGTGCCGATCAGCGATTCTCAGTTTGGGATTGTTGCATGCCGACTCCCATCCCAGTTAACCACATTATAATCGTAAACTGTACGTTCTATTTTCTCTTTTAAAGATAGTATTTGAATTTTAAACTCAATAACGTTATAATCACTTCGGTCTAAAGGTGATCGTATAACTATATCAGTTATAAACGCGGAACTTTCTACAATAATCAAATTTAAACAAGTACCAGAAACATCTCTTGTCACTCCTCTAACTAACTGATACAGATTCTCTTCTTGAAGAAAATCATAGAATATCTCTCCTGTTTTAGTAGATTTTACACCGTTGTTGGACCACAATCGATGATGTGCATTGAAATCCCCTACTAAAAGTATTCGATCCTTTCCATATTATCGATAATAATCACACTCAATTTATTAGTTAGTGTCAAACGCAGTACAAGAATTTCAAATCTTGTATTCTCAAAATCTACCAACCGTTTAACATAATAATCACTTCTTACATAAACTGCACAACCTCCCCCGCGTCGATTCCTGTCATTGCGCAGAGGTGTGTGATAGTGAGGAACTGCTAAATCATTGTTAACAATTGTACTGTTAAGCCAAGTTTCGGTTAGGCACAACACTACCGGTTTATTCAAGGATAGATAAGCACACGCACTATCCATATGTGATGATAAACTTCTTATATTCATAGACGAGAAAATTTCACCAACAAGCACACATTACTGTTCGAACTTATCAGGGTGTAAAGAAAATGTCAGTCACGCCAGTATCGTCCACACAGGGCTCAGTATCACTTACATAGTTAGACGGAAAAAGGAAATAATAAAAAAAAAATTTAAGAAACGAAAGGAAAGTACGAAAAAATGATTCTTGACTGAAGATCATATGAGGTCACCGAATATCACAGCCTATATTGACTTATTAAGTGCATGATCAACATCTATCATTGAATTGAACTTCTTGTATTTATCTTTAGCCAGGTACATTAGAACATTACCATTACGTGTAAATATACGTCTTTTATCCAATTTTATTTTTGCATAAAGATAAATCTGATTGTTATGTTGTGACAGATGTTCATTTATAAAAATATTTTTTAGTTCATCAATTTCACGAAATTTCTTCCTTGATGAATAAAACACGTTTCTATTCGTAATTCATAGCAAGCCAACTATTATTGCCTGACGTGATTTATTTTGAGAATTTTTTGAAGAAAGTAGTCTGTGAATTCCATAGAAATCATTCTTTGTCAATTGTAAACCAACTTTTGACATTAAATCAATCACGAGAACAGTAACATTTTCATCACTTTGAAATGGAATACCATAAATTAACAGGTCTTTTCTTTTCTTATACTGATCATGATCATTAACACGCATTACAACCGTATTCAGCTGTGATTCCATTGCATGTTGTGTTAATTGACCAATTTGTTCTTGCTGTTTTTCTGTGGCTTCTTTAATTACATTTATAATAGAATTGATGAATATATCAGAACTAACAATAGACTTTGCCAGTTGTTCAACAAATTGCGATGATGAAAATTGCTCTTTAATAATTTGCGACAAATTATTATTACTGATGTTGTCAGCCATTATATCAACTGTTGTTGATTTTTTTTGTAAGAAGAAGAATTCAAAGCCGACGGTGGTGATTGTTGATTAACTTTTTGCATAAATTTAACTATATTTTTTATTTTTTTCACCCATTTCGATTGCACTAGGACAGATCTCTAGCAGTTTTCTATTGTTATTTTACATTCATGAGTGAATGTAAAATACATATATAAATAAATAATATATAATATATAAAATATAGTAAATTCAGATTTCTACTATAGCGTAAATTAGAATAATTTGTATAATTTCTATTTCTAGTGAAATTCTGAATTCCTCTAAATTCCAGTTTCCACTGTCACATATACACAGAAAAGATTTTGATTTCATCAAGGGGTTATTGAGATATTCAAAAAATACGAGGCTTTACTGACTTAAAGAAAATAGAACTGTTTTTCACTAATATCGAAATCTGTCGAAATGAGAGGTTGTAAAAAATTTATATTATGCGTAGTTTGTAGCCTAGGTTTCTAGCTATCTAAGGGGGGGGGAAGCTTAAAGACGCACTGATTGCTAAGCCACAGCGATAACAAAACGTGAATGACTTACGCTTTTCTTAGATGTTGGATAGTGCATTTTCATGCACTTAATGTCCCCTAAACAAATTGATTTTTATATTTGCGATAGATTTGGTGCTATTCTATCGATTTATGTAAAGAATAAAGTTGAAAAACTTTTTTCAGGCTTTTAAAATTGACTGGAATCTTGAAGCATCGAAAAGGAATAAGTTTTGTTCCTAAAGTCGAATTGTCGAAAAAAAATGAGCCATTCTGTAGAGAATTTAGTTTTCTGTCGAATGGTGCGAATTTTAAACTTTTTTCAAAAAGTTTCTAGATCAAAAATTTTAAACTAAATCACTGAAATTTATACTTTTATTTATTAAGGAGGTCGAATTCGCAATCAGCGCGAAAAACTGCATCTAGTGATGCGCTCATATCTGTTTTCAGATAATAAAAAATTTTTAAAAACTTGACCAGCAAAATGTCGCGTTACGTGGACAAGCTGTACCACTCGATGAGCTCTATAAGACCACTGGTCTTCTATTATGTCCGCGAAAAAAATCGAAAAATGCCCTCTACCCCTATAGGAGAATTTTCAAAAAAACTCTCACTCAAACGTACTTCTAATTGAGGGTGGACCTCAGGTAC